ATGTGAGGATACCACTGGATGTACCCTCTGTCCTCCATCACCGTCACACTCCCACCACTCTAAGCAACTTTCTTTCAGTGGTAATTGGTGATATGATTTTAAAAGTCAATTTATTTTCATTTTCTTATATTTATTAGTGTGTATTAACTATACAGAATAATGGGTTTTATTGTGACACTTTTACACATGCTTATAACACACTGATCTCCCGGACTCCCTTCCAACTCCCTAGCAGGCCTTCTACTTACATGTCATTTTTTTCTTTCTTGATTCCACATGAGAGAAACATGTGATGCTTGCTTTAGTCTGACTTATTTTGATTAACATAATGATTTTTAATGCCATCAATTTTCCTACAGATGACATAATTTTATTGTTCCTTATGGGTGAATAATACTCCATTTTATAACTATAATGCATTTTTGATGCATTAATCTATTGATGGGCATCTAGGCTGATTCCATGCCTTGGCTGTTTTGAGTAGTGCAGTAATAACACGGGTGTGCATGTATCTCCTTTGTATGCTGGCTTTATTTCCTGCAAATATACCCAGAAGCGTTATGGCTGAATCATACAGTAGTTCTGTTTTTAGTTTTTGAGGAATCTTCATAGTGGCTATACATTTCCCCCAACAGTGTGTAAGAGTTCCTTTTAGCAGCACCCTTACCAATATGTTCTTTTCTTTTTTATTTGTTTTTATTAGTTGTACATGAAAGTAGAATATTTTGATATATTATACATATATGGAGTATAGCGTCTCATTCTTCTGGTTGGACATGATGTAGAATTACATTGGTCCTGTAATCATATGTGCACACAGGAAAGTAATGTCCAGTTCATTCTACTATCTTTCCTATTCCCATTCCTCCTCCCCTTCATTCATTACCCTCTGTACAATCCAAAATACTTCTATTCTTCCCTACTCCTTCCCTTATTGTGAGTTAGCATCTGCATATGTGAGAACATTTGGCATTTTTTTTGGGAACTGGCTTATTTCATTTGGCATGATAATCTCCAGCTTCATTCATTTACTAGCAAATGCCATGATTTCATTCTTCTTTATGGCTGGATAGTATTCCTTTGTGTATATGTAGCACATTTTTTATTAATTTATCTGTTGAATAATATTCATTATCTGTTTGGTTCTATAGTTATTGTGAGTTGTACTGTTATAAACATTGATGTGGCTGCATCACTGTAGTTTTGATAATAGTCATTCTGATTGTGGTGAGATGCAATCTCACTGCAGTTTTGATGTGAATTTCTCTGATGCCTAAAGATACTGAGCATTTGTTTACATTTTTATTGATCATTTGTAAATCTTCTTTTGAGAAGTGTCTGTTCAGCTCACTTACCCATGTATTGACTAGGTTGTTTGTTCTTTTGCTGTTATATTTTATTTTATTTTTATTAGATCTTTATGATATACATAGTAGTTGAGTGGTGTTGTCTTTTTTGAGCTTTTATATATTCAGAATATTAATCCTCTGTTAGATGAATAGCTGGCAAAGATTTTCTCCCATCCTTTTGGCTGTCTTCCCTATGTTGATTCATTTCCTTTGATGTGCAGAAGACTTTTAATTTGATGTAATCCCATTTGTCAATTCTTGCCATTATCTCCTGAGTTTTTTTCAGGAAATCACTGCTTATACCAATATCTTGAAGCATTGACCATATATTTTTCTCCAATAATTTCAAAGTGTCAGGTCTTATTTTAAGACCTTTGATCCATTTTGCATTGATTTCTGTACTGGAAAAAAGACAGGGATATAGTTTTAAAATTTACAGGAAGAATTCCAGTTTCCCCAGAACCATTTGTTGAAGAGGATTCTTTCTCCAGCATGTTTTCAGTAACATTGATGTAAATTAGAAAATTATAGATGCATAGGAGTATTTCTGGACCCTTGATTCTATTCTGTTGGTCTACATGACTATTCTTGTACCAATACCATGTTGTTTTTGTTTTAATAGTTTTATAATAAATTTTGTGATACTTCCATCTTTATTCTTTATGCTCAGATTTGCTTTGGCAATTTAGTCTTCCATATGAATGTTAGGATTGTGTTTTTAGTTCTATGGAGAATGTTATTGGTAATTTGAAGGGCCTTGCATTGTCTCTGTTCATGGCTTTTGGCAGTATGAGCCATTTTAACATTAATTCTGCCAACCCATAAACATGAGAGGTCTTTACATCTTCCAGAGTTGCCTTCAATTCTTTCATTCAGTTTTCTGTAATTTTCTTGTAGACATCTTTTACCCTCTTGGTTAAGTTTACTACTGTGTATAGTTTTAAGCTACTGTGAATGGAATTGTTTTCCTGATTTCTTTTTCAGTGGGTTTGTTATTGGAGTACAGAAAAGCTATTTAAAAAAATATGTTTATTTGTGTCCTGCTGCTTGGTTGAATTTTCTTAACAGGTCTAAGTCTTCTGGTGGAGTCTTCATGTTCTTCTAAGCATAGAAGCATATCATCTTCAAACAGGGACAAATTTGACATTGTACTTTTGTATTCATATCCCTTTTATTTCTTTTTCTTGTAAGATTGCTCTGGCTAAGTTCTCCAGTACTGTATTGAATATACATGGTGAGAGTGAATACCCTTGTCTCCTTCTGATTTTAGGGGAAATTCTTTCATTTTTTTCAGCATTTATTAAAATATTGGCTGCACATTTACCATATATAGCCATTAATGATATATTACATTTATTGATTTGCCTATGTTGAACCAACTTTGCATCACTGGAATGAAGCCAACTTTTTTGTGGTCATGATGTGTGATATTTGATGTGAACCCGAATTTTATTTGCAAGATTTTTTTGAGGATTTTAACATGAATGTTCAGCAAGGATATTAGTTTGTAAAGTTATTTTTGATTGCTGTGTCTTTATCAGATTTTGACTTCACATAATGAATTTAGAATAGTTCCTCCCCTTTCTATTTTATGGAATATTTTGAGGAGCATTGGTACTACCTCTTTAAAAGTCTGGTAGAATTCAGCTGAATGCATCTGGTTTGGAGCTTTTCTTTCTTGGGAGTTTTTTTTGTTTTTAAATATTGACTCATTTCTTTATTTGTTATTAATCTCTTTAGTCTTTTTGTATCCAAGGCAAAATATCCAAGACACAGTGTCATCTCCTCTCACTGCTTCTGATCAGGAAAAAAGAAATGAAAACACAATTTGTGCTGAGGCATCCTTTGGAACAAAATAATCCACCAGTTCAGGCCATGATGATCACAGACCTAGACCACCTTGAATCCACACATAGTAGTCTCTATCCCCATGATAGAGGTAGAACTGCTTATTTAAGTGGAGCATCTTCAGCTTCCCTCCACATTGCACACTGGACTTCCTACTGCATAAAGTTCTCAGTAGATCTGGGTCATGCTCACTTCACTGGGCTGAAACTGGCATTTGGGGTACGAGCCCATTGACTAGTGAGAAGAAGATGCTATGAGATCTTCTGATACAAAATTTTAGGGACTTCTGATCAGCCAAGCAGTAAGTTCAGATGATGGGACCCTTCCTAAGAGAGCTCTCTGATGGGGCACCTTATGAATATGCTGGGAAATGAGAATCTCTTCCCCACTAGTGGCATGCTACAGAAATCCCAGGACTCCTATCTGCTTCAATTGTTTGTTTGCAAGGCTCCAGATGCAAATAGACAATGATGCGCTTGTGGAGATTGCCAGGATTCTCTCTATTCCACTGTGGGGTACTTCCCCTCTTCCTACCAAGAAGCAGAGCACTCAGTGTTGGGGTGCTCCATTTCCCTTACAGAAATATTTCTGGGGGTTTCCTGGTCACTGATTTTTTTTTTTTTTTACTGCTGCCCTCTAGTTATTTTTAAAATAGTCTTCTACTGCAATATGAAGCCACAACTCCTGTTGTTTTAGCTCAATCTCATGGAGATGCAGGTGAATGCTATGAGCCTCTAATACACCATCTTTCCTTCAAGAACCTGCCCAGTTTCCAGTTATATTATTTGAGCTCAAGCAGAAAGTTACTAAAATGTAGGACCATACTTCATGTGTTAATCATCTTTTCATCACTTTGACCAGAATACCTGACAAGAACAGCATAGAGAGGAAAAAATGCTTATTTGGGGCTTACCATTTCAGAGATATAATACATGGTTGGCCAATTTGATTGCTCTGTCCCTGATATAGGGCATACCATTGTAGCAGAAAAACCAGGCAAAGAAATATTCTTAGCTCTGGCAGCCAGGAAACAGAGAGAGGGAGAGAGGTGGGGGTTAGGGGGGTGTGCACTAGGAGCCAAGGAGAAGATGTGATCCCCAAGTGCAGGCCCCAGTGATCTATGTGTTCCAGCCAAGGCCTATCTGCCTAAGTTACCTCCCAGTAGCCACTCATATTATAAATCCATCATATAAATTAACCCACTGATGAGGTTAGAGCACTCATAAACTAATCATAGCAGCTCTGAATATTCCTGCATTGCATAACATATGAACTTTTGTGGGGTATCTTGCATCTAAAACGTAACACTTTACTGAATTAATTTTACTTGGAATGATTTTCCTCTCACCATCTCTCTTCAATTAAACTTCAATTAAACTCTTCAATCAGTACTGCAAACTACCTATTCTGTAAAAAAAAATCATAAAACATGTAACAGCATTACTCTGTATTTTTTTCCTCAGAGAATTTGGAGATCAATGTTCAAAGTTGACTGAAATTTATTTTCTGTGACAAGAATTTTCATAAAGTACAACAATAATAGATTTAATTGCAGAAAGCAGATCTATAAAAATATTTCTATCATTGATTTAAAGAAACCAGTCACCTAAATAACCTGATGATTAGGGGATATTAGTTCCATGGACTTGCCACAGAAGTGAAGAGGGGACCATTAAAGAGAAAAAGAGGTCAGGATCAACACCTTTTTCTGTGTCACAGTGAAAGAGGATAGAACAATTTTTTCTTTGAACTTATCCAGATAAGTTCACTTTGCCTTTAGTTGGGGAGAGACATAGAGACACCATGGCCTTTCAGGATCTCCTTTATGAAGTTGGTGGTCTGGGGAGGTTCCAGATAATTCAGATGGCTTTTCTTCTTACCTACAATGCCATGGCACAGACTCATATTATATTGGAAAATTTCACTGCAGTCATCCTTGGTCATCGCTGCTGGGTCTAACTCCTTGACAATGATGCTATCTCCAACAAGGAAACTGGGACCCTTAGCCAAGAAGCCCTCCTGAGGATCTCCATCCCACTAGATTCAAACCTGAGGCCAGAGAAATGTCATTGCTTTATCCACCCACAATGGCAGCTTCTTCATCTGAATAGAACCTTCTCAAACATGAGTGAAGTGACTGGGTATATGACCAGAGTTTGTTCCTCTCCACCACCGTGACTGAGGTAACAGGCTTAATTTTCCACTTGTGAGTGCTTGACATGTAGAAACAAAGAAAATAATGAACATGTTTTGAGATTTTAATTGCTGTGTGGATGCTGGTTCTTCTTTTTTTTCCCCAAAAGCTATTGGTTCTTTATGCAATATGGGACACATACGTAGTGTAATGATAAATAGTAAATAGGAATCCAGTTCTGTCCTCTGAAGGTGATTGCACATCTGCTATGTTTCTGCCTGTGGATAACGGAGGTGTCTATATTGCTCTGTTCAGAGCAAAAGAAACAAATTTCTTTTTTCCCTTATATTTTTGCAAGAACTGCCTAAATCGGAGGCGCTGCCCGTGCCTGCAAGGTAGGCAGACCTGCGACTGACCGGCAGAACAGGCCCAGTGGCCCGCCGGCATGGTAGACACATCACCCCAGTTGGAGGAAGGGCCCAGCTGCTGCCCGCAAGGTAGGCAGACCGAGCAACCTGGAGAAGGGGCCCAGCGGCCCACCGGCCTAGCTGAAAGATCACCCCAATTGGAGGAGGGGCACAGCTGCTGCCTGCACCTGCAAGGTAGGCAGACCTGCAACCTGGAGAACAGGCCCAGCGGCCCACCTGCATGATAGACAGATCACCTCAATTGGAGGAGGAGCACAGCCGCCACTTGCGCCTGCAAGGGAGACTTTGCAACTATACAAGAGCAATATAAATATATAGGGGGAAGATTCAATAACACAACAGTTTCACCAAGCAGAAAGAAACGTGAGCAGT